CTGTTATCGTAAAAAAAAAAATCAATATATTTTTGGACGGGGAAATGTGATGTAATTGGTCCAATTAAATAAAGTCCTCGTTATTGTTGGAAGTTGCACGAAAAACACGTTTTTTCCCCGAATTTTACCTACAAATTGAAGTTTGAAGAGATCGCATTCACCATTGGCAGAAATTTATCTGGTGTACAGTGTGACTCTTAAGTCAGACACGTAAAAGGTCAAGCGCATTGTATTTATTTGCAATTACTTACCTACTCAAAGTTGCCCATGCTTGATGGCTTCTTAAGTAACGGACCCTTTCTCTTTAATGTCTTGCTCCACGGTTGCAAACACTTGAAGACATACGTTGACTCGAAGTCTGAGGAATTTGAAAAAGGATGAGCATCTTTACATGTCTACCTCATCAGGAGGAACCTAGAAAGAGTTATACCATTACCATACGGTTCTTACTTACGAAATCGATATGAAATCAGTATCAAATTTCATGTTCCTTGTTCACTTTGCATTCCTTGATCCTAAATGCTGAGACAGCTATTTTGGGTGACAGTATAAAAATTGTAACAGATCGTTTTTATTCAGACAAGCATTCAAAACAAAAATAAAGATGCTAACCGGAATCTATGATAAATGTTCAAAGACGTGACAAAATGGAGATGGATGATGCTGCATGCATCCGCGAGTACCTCTTTCAGTTATTAATAAATGAATAGGAAGCAAGATGGAGTTTCACGTTCCCTATTAGTTGGCCTGAGCCTTTGTGGATGAACTCTCAGCCCGATGTTTAAAAAAAGTCACAGAATAAAAGAAATAGATGTATGCAAAATATTGGCCATGTTTTTGTGTATGTGTCTTGGGCGTGTAGCATGTACCCGAAAAGTCATATGTGCTTGCAGCTTATCATTAAAAAAAATTATCACTCTGTGTAGAGATGTAGGTACAGTAAGGTTGCGAAATGAAACAATTTCAGATTAATTTTCAGGTATTTAAAACTGGTAATTTGCAAATCTATGAGCCCTTCCTTTTTTATTCAGACTCTGCAGAAAATAGCATGGACAAGTGAGAAAAAAAAAACACTGAATGAAAATTCAAACCCAAATGGTGTTTCCTTTTGCAGAGGCCTAGATTTTTGCACAAAAATATGTTTTTACCAGTAATTTTTAACGCGTTTTGTATAGGTCATATTATCAGTTTATTTTCAGTAGAATTTGACAGTTGTAGGATGATCGACCGAAATTCTTGATCTCGGTCGACATAAACAAAACGCGTGTTCGTCCTTATGCTTCCCAAAGCTTGAATAGCAAAGGAGCGACACGCTTCTTGCTGTACATGTAAACCATGACATATCGTGATCATGACATGAACTGAAAATCTCACATGTGAAGATATTAAAATGTGGGGCAAGCACCATCAAACTGAAAGTGGCATACGAAAATCCCACTAGCGCGAGCAAACAATCTGGAGAAATGTCACAGGTCACACAGTATAGACGCGCCACGATACTCCCTTTATGGTTACAGACCAGTAAATAAACTTCCATAGACCCCAATGGTAAATGTTTCGGAAATCCGGGAAAAATACTCACAACTCTTCAAGGTGTTCGAGATACACATCAAATTAAAACTTATTTCATCATCTTTCAATTTCTTTTCAATTTTCGGGGGGGGGGGTGTCAACTGATGACTTTTAAAAGAAATTTCCATCCGAAGATGATCACCCCTGAAAATAGTCCTGAAGCCCATCGCCATTTTGAAAAAAGATGCTTACACTCCATTGCAAAATGAGCGCTTCAAGGGCCCCAATTTCATCCAAATTGAACGGAACTACAAGCTCACAGTATTGTGCAGGGCTTCCACCCATATTTTTTACAAACCCTCAAGTTCATGGCCCACAGCATGCTCAAGTACTGAAGATTTTGAGGGCATGCAAATCGTGATTTGGCCGGCGTAGGCAATTTCGGACCGATTTACTGGTCTGCAACCTTATCATGCTGCCACCATTGCAGTCATGTTCCCTGTATCCAATAACAGTAATGAATGATAATGTTTTGTGCAAAAGGGAAGCATTCTATGTTTCCTTCTAGCCTCGCTTTGATTACGTTGATTTGAATGGGAAAAAAATGCGCAACATAATAATGGTCTATTGCAATTAGCCCATGCATTTGTCCAAAACAAAATTTCCACCCGAGGATGATGATAGAGGACGCCCTGATAGTTAACGGCGCATAACATTGAAATATAATCCCAAAAAGCATTTTAACTTTGTACCCAAATTGCCAGGTGATAGAGGGCGCCCCAATAAGTAAACAGCGACATAACTAAATCTTCAAACGGCCAAAATACCCAAATTACGAGTAAATTACAGTTAAAGCACTCCAACCTCATTGATTGAATCATGTTGCTAATGTTACATTGACGGAGCAGTTTTTTTTTCTTATTTGTTTTAAAGAGCAAGGAGGTTCGAAAATGCCTAGAAGTTGCCTGCCTTCATCTACACAACTAACAGTAGGCATCTTCCATTGCAAAGAAACTGACAATCTTATAAACCGTCTCAATGTTGAGTCCAAATGTTTTGTGCAAAAACAAAGAGACTTGAGTTTCAAATAATTTTACAACATTAAGCACTAAATCCTTTTCGATGCTTTGCATTACTTTTTGAGCAGCCCTTTAAATGAGACTCTCAAACATAATTAATCCTGAATAATTTGATAATGCAGCGCACCTGCATATAAACCATTTATTATGAATAAATTATTCAAATAAAATTTGGCGAAAAATGTAGACCTATCTATTTATGAGTCAACCATCCAAAGAAGTAAAATTGTTTTTGAAATGTTTAAACAAGTTGAAAAACAATTCCCCCACCCCTGCCATGCAATGCCATTGGCAAATCAATTTACAAATCAGTTTACAAATCAATTTTTATTGAAATGACATAGATGCATCCGATTTGAATTTCGACTATTTTGTGGGAAAAATTTGAACAATTATTAAAACCCATCAATTGAGTTTATAAATGAGTTCATATCAGCTTATCCTGCATAACTGACTGATACAAAAATAAATTCAACCGTTTTTGTGCGTAAAATTGTTAGCAATTTATCAAAACCAATCAATTTCCAGAAAAGAAATTCCTACCTTTCAGTGACTCACCCTGGCTAGCCAAGTTTTTGTAAAACTAAATCTTATTAATATTTATGTATGACAAACCAGGTAATTTGTGCATAAAACCAAGACATAAGTAAACCATTCAAAGTGTCCATTTGTTTCACCCTATATCCAGGCTTCAGTGATCTTTTTTTTCTTCACATTGTTGCACTGATAACTTGATGACTTTTTTATAAACTCAATTTTTAGGCTTATAAAAGAATTGAGACTTTTGAGAGAAATCTATACAGTAAAGCTTGAACTATCACCCTGGTCTAAATTATTGAAAGGTTTTCGACTCCTTTCTTACCTCCCGGCCCAGTAAGAGTTTTGCAAGTCATTCTACATCCAAGCAAATCACTTCAGATACAAACAATAGGCCTACACAGGCAAACGGTACTCAGTCATGCACTTCAAAACCTAGGCTAGCCCTAGTCTATGGCCCCGCAGTAGCAGACTTCTCTGTGCTATGCACAGTCTACTCCAGTGCGGGCAATAGACTAGGGCCATTCGAAACCCAACGCCAACGTGGCCCTTTACTCAAAATGTTTCACTCAATATTTAGTACTCACGACGTACCTTGACTCCACTCTCAAAACCTTGCCTCAGCTTTTACCATGTTCAGACCTCATGCAAAGCATGCAGTGTCAGCAGTCGGCACATGTAAAGAAAATTCCATCACTGTCATTGTCGCACATGTTGTTGTGTTTACGTTAGCATGGTCAGGCGTCAGTGTACTCCCGTCGGAATGTGCCCGGGTCGATACACCACCACAACTTCGAAATTCATTCGCGACCGACAGAGCAAGTTGACTCCGAACATACCGGTACGTATTGATTCATAAGTAGACAAAATAAATGTCAAGTGACCGTTGAGATACCTTTTCACCTCGGTTATGTTAGCACACACGGGTCACTGTTGCAGCTTGGCAGACGAACAGGTGACTGACAAAAATATGACATTTTCTCTATATCAAAATGCGCGCGTATGTTTTGGCTGTTTAATCAATTGACACTAATGTTTTGCGCCGATGGACATATTGGTCATTATATTGAATAAACTATCAATAGAATCAAACAATCATGCGTTTTTCTTTGAAAATTAATAAATTACTTTATCTTCAGTGTTTGATATCTTAATTTTGTGTTTTCTTATTAACGGGAAATATGAATACATATTTTTTTGGCGGGAGTAACAAAAGCATGTTAAAGCAGTAAAGACAAGATTTTCGAAACATCGGCTTCGTCTATGGTTCGGATTTAGGAGATAATTGGGGACTAAAACAAAAATGAGTCCTTGTCCTAATTCCAAAATATGGAATTGCATGATAGCAGCCGAAACGTTAGAGTATTATTTGTTTTAATTTAGACTTTCAGGGCAATTAAGTGATTCTGATGCCGTAATTAAGCCTCCGCTGAAAACGGAGCCGATGTTTTGAAAATCCCTACCTGACCGTGAATTCTGTATGTCGCCCTCTATGGCTCATTGAAGAAGGCTTATTTTTACCAAGCTGGGGCATGGCAGAGGAGGTGGCTCAGGGATAGATGTGTGATTCTATAAACAATCTTCAGTTTGTCACTCGGTGCAGGAATACTGGTTTAAAGATTAATTTCTGAAAAGGTTACCATGTGGGGAAAAAGGATGTGACTTAACAAGCAAAAAAAGGATGGGACTTAATAAGGATCATATATAGAAATTGAACCTGCAAGTTTTGTGAATCTCCAATCCCAATAAAACAAGTAAAATGTTTTATTCAGTACATGTATTTGAAAATTTCTCCAAAAAAAAATACAAATTTTACTGGACACAAACAAAAAAACTCTAATGACAAACATAAAAATTCAACACAATTTATGATTTCATGTTCTGAAGAAATCTTTCCTCAAAAGATTTAAAAGATCTTTATTGTTAGTAAAATCAAACGAAAGTGTCGCATATATACCAGTGAACACATTAAATCCATCATATATATCAGAACAATTTAGAAATACAAATATAAAATCTTGCGAACATCTTAGCAACCCATTACCCAACAGGAGTAAATTTTGAACAATGATAATAACAAAACCAATACAATTGTACACATCTGACATACACAACTTTGAAATAATGAATTCACATCTCTACACGAGAATTATTGACCTCTTAAAAGCAGAGTTATAAAAACCTGGTACAAAATCCACAATTTCTCTACATTCAGCATGGCAAGCATTTCATCCATCTTGCTATCCACACAAACCTTGATGCATGATTTTCAGCTTTGAAGGTGAAACCTACCGGAGGCCCAACCCCTACTTTCTGGCAACACTCCAGCTTCAAAACAAGGGGTGTCGTGTACTTGGATCGGTAATCAACTACTTCCTCGACACAACAGTCAGCAGTCCTTCTTAAAAGCCCCTGATTTCCAAGGTGATACATCTGCTTGGCCTAAGTCCAGACATCAACTGGTACACACCGCCCAACTTTGCCTTCTGAACAAGGACACTGAACCAGAATAAAAAACAGTCATAGCTGCAATCACACCAAGGCAGCTTTAATTGAATGTAGATAATAAAATGAGTGAAAGAGTGGAATCAGCATCTGGAACACCACATTTGGACACCAAATACCCAGACTGAAAATGTTGGGAATCCTGTTCCATTTTAGCTGGGCCTGATGGGCCACCTATTGTCCTCTAACTGACTGAGTCACCGACAGACTGAGTCACCGACTGACTGACAAACTGACTAAGTCATTGACTGACTGACTCCCCACAGACTGACTGCCTGCCTCCCCGACTGGGAGGCTCACTGAGTCACTCCCCGAGTCACTGATTAACTGACAGACAGACTAACTGAAACACTGAGTGAATGCTTCACTGACTGACTGACAGACTGAGTCACCAACCAACTGACAGACAGACTGACTAAGTCATCGACTAACTGACTACTGACGAACTGACTGAGTGTCTCACTCCCCGACTCACTCCCCGACTCACTCCCCGACAGGCTCACTCCCCCACTGACTGACTGACTTCCCGAGTCAATGACTGACAGACTCACTGAGTCACTAACCGAGTGTCTCAGTATAAACAATCTCCAAACCTGAGACTCTGGATACAGCTTGACAAGCCTAGCCTTGTCTTGTTTTAGTTGGCAATACCTACCAAATGTGCACGCTATGGAAAACTATTTTCTTCTATGTTTGTTTTAATTCAAACAATTACGGTTTCGCAGGTACCCTATCATTGTGGTAACAGTTACCTGATCCTGAAAGCATCCGCAAAAGCACATCCAATACCCGTGGTGTAAAAGTTTTGTAATGGAGGGTAAAACCCAGTTATTAATAAAGTGCGTGGACCCTGTCAGCGATGGGAGGCTGGCCCATAGCCACGGACCTGCTGCAGGCCCCAGCTCTTCTGCTGGTGTTTGTGCTGCTGGTGTTTGTGCTGCTGGTGTTTCTTCTGCTGCTGCTTCTGCAGGAATTCCAAGACGATTGGGGACTGCATCAGAGCCTGGAGGGGAGAATGCAGCCAAAAACGCGAGAGAACTATGAACAATGTTTTAGGAGATGCTGCTAACGATAATCCAGTCATACGATGGTTTACTTGTAATTTTGTAAGGGTATCTGAACTTGATCAGTGCTTCATTTCTTTTTCCTCAGAGCCAAGGTTGGAAAGGAGTTGAAATGAATTAAGGAAGGCAAAAGTTCTACAGAGGAAGAACCCAGGCAATCAAAAAGGAACTGAAGGCAAGAGAAAACCCACCTTGTTAAGCAAGCGACGATGATTTTTGAGGAATCAGAAAAGTCCCTTATCCCAGAAAATATGCCTGGAAAGTGCATATTACCACACTGTTGCCAGAATATTGTGTATGATGGCCGGGCTGGAACTCAGATAATTTACTCCCATGTACTGATACAGACGTGAACAATTTTGCCAGTCAAAACCACTCACCATCTTTTTCTCATTCAGGACCTGTTCCAGCATGGATCCTTGTTCCCCTTGTCTGTGCCTGTTTGCTGCCCCTCCAAGCCTGTCCCCTGGTGGCTCATGGCCCGTGGTTTTCACCTCCATGCTAAAAGGATCCTGTACAAGGAAAGATTAATTTGGAGAAAAAGTAAAATACATGTTTAGCTTTGTGCGTGTGTGTTTGGGGGAGATACTTGTACAAACAAGTATTTAACTGTAGATAGTTAGTTTCAGAGGGTTGCTTGTTTAATGCAACCACTCGGGTATAAAATTTTAACCTCTTACATAAGATTTTGGTGAACTTTTGAAGACCCAAGGGTGGGAATTTTTTACCCTCTTTTCGGTGCAAATTAAAGATATGAAATCTAGTAAGAAAAACCTTAGTTAGTGATGTGGCTAATACCTCCATGCTGTGTCCTTAAGCAATGTACTTTACCTCAGTTTCTGCCTCTCTTTACTACAAACAGTGGCAAGGCCACTCCTATCCAATATCAATCATCCTGTATCTGTTAGACCCCAACTATTAAGTAACTGTGCTAACGATATAGTTTCACTAAGTTGTGATCGTGCCAACTTTTGATGGGATATTCTTTAGTTGAGGATTATCATGTCTAACCATCCCAATATGACACAACTTGACCTGACCTGACCTGACCTGACCTGACCCCATCCAACCAGTTCCCCCACCTGGTTTGCCATGGCTTTGCGCCGCTTGTACGTCTCCTTGTAGGTCTTGTTCCGGTGGTACTTGCACTTCCAGGGCAGCAGCTGATACCGGCGCGACTTGTAGGCCGACTTCTCGCAGCCCTTGACCGTGCAGGTCATCTCCACCTTGTCCTCCTTGGAACACGTAGATGACGTCGATGACGAGGATGAAAGAGATGACGACGATTCGGCCCGCTGATGGGAGCTGGAATCATGTTTGATCAGCATGGGGGATGTAGCTTTTTCCGCTGATGACTGGTTGTCTAACTCAGTCTGGCTGTCTGCAGCGGAACCATCTTGGCTTGAGCATTGTGAAGAAGACATATCTGCAAAAAGGAAAAAAGTTATTGCCGCTCTGGTTATCTTCATTGAAGTCATCAAAACAGTAGTGGGAAGCCTCTTATTATGATTTTTGACACGGATCACTCTAAATTTGCCTTTGAAAAAGGTCACGTCATTATTACCAGGACTTCTGAGTTGTTGATTCATGCATTTCAGGTCAAACAAGTCTTAAAACAGCTTAAACTTTATTAAAAAAAATTAAAATGGGCGATTCTACAGAAATTGGACATTAAGTTTTGGGGGAAAGTTTTTTATGTGATGTATTAATTACATTACAAATGATTCTTGCTCACTAATGAAAAAAAAAGTACACACTACATATCATAAAAAGAACAACGAATGCTTACACTCCAGTAAAGAAAATGGCATTAATTGGCTTGGTTATGCTCAAATAAGTACAAAGTATAACATTATCCATTTCATTTAAAATGTTAAGCCCCAAGATTAAGTGTCCGGATATTGGGCCAGTAATAAGGGCCCAATTGGCAATTGTCAACGTCTTTCAATGTGTACATTACAACAACAAAAAACACACGTTTACAACAGATAGACTGCTTACTTTCTTGGTAATCAAGGAAATTCTCTGATAATCAGGACAAAAATATAAGGCAAATCCGCATTACAAAGATCATGGAGGTAGAATTCTACGCACACTCAGTCGTCGTTGTTTTTGTTTACATTTTGCAACACCGATTGCAAGGAAATTGCAACATCGTAGCAGACGTCTGGGTGCATGTCCAAAATACTGTCTGGGTCCCTGTACGTTGTCAAGCCAAAGTTTTATGACTACTGCGCCGGAGGCCTAGTACAGACTAAAGCTACCAGACTACAATTTCACTTCGATCGAAATGCGTTGACGGGAGAGAGTCATCACTCGCACTTCATCTCATAAAACAACTGAGAAATCTACTAAGAATGTGTAGTTTTTGCATACTAAATGAATGATAGATGTCGGTTTACACACTGAAGGTATTTTTTAGATGCTGGTTGTCCTTTTAACTTAATGATCGTCAGAAAGCTTGCTGGAGGTTTGGACGTCGAGCGTCGTCGTATCGTTGAAATTGTACCGCGCGGAAACTGATGTGTACGGCATTGCCAGTCATGCCAGTGTTGTGTACATGTACATCGCCTTCATAACTTTGTTAGTGTTGGGTCAAGTCAAGCAAGTTGTCACAATAGTGGAGATCTGCGAAACATGTAAGTTACCTTCATTATGTCCCGTAAAACAAAACAAATAATTGCTCCAATCCATTCCTTTTTTTTTTCTTTGCAAGTATTTTTGAAGTTGTAAAAATTATGAATTTCAAATATGTTTTATTTTTTTTGCGGGCCTGAATTTGTGTTGTCTTTTTACATTTTGCAGTGGCCAGATTACTGAAAGTCAGCAGTAATTTTGCATTCTTTTCTTTCTATGAAAAAAAATACAATATGACGTGCTTGACTGCCTTAGATTTTTTTCTTGTTTTTATTTTTTTTTTAAAGCATTTAAGAACACGAAGAACTTATATTCAAGTACTTCTAGAATTAGAATGCTCGAGCCTTCTAATTAGTAGAAGTAATATTCAAGTATAATTTTTTTTTTAATTAAGTGTTATCATAAATGTTGGCTTTAATGTCTAAAAATTATATTTTGTTGGGCTTTTATTTTTTCACTTTTTGTGACATTTTAAATATTTATAATTTGATAATTAATTATTGCACCAGGGGTGTTTGACATATTATCAGCATTGATTCCCAAAAAAATTTGACTTGATTTTCGTTCCCCAAACTACATGAAATCCTTTATTTTATTTTTTTAAATATGCAAGTATTTTCGACTTAGAGAAAATAAATAGATTTAACCACATGTAGTAGTAGTTATATCCCAATTTTTTGGATTGAACGAAACTCTATCCATGCAGAAATCTGACTGGCTTTACAAGCAATAGAACACCTGATTTAAGTTTCAGTGATGAGTAAACGTTGCTCAATTTCCTGGCATTGTCGGATCGGTGTGCTGCACAGGAAGTTGATGACACTAAGTATGTGTTGCAAGGTACATAGTTTAAACCTACATACATGTGTGCATGAAACAGCATGCCAATGTTGTGCCCATTCTTGAAAATCACGCATTCTCGAGAATGGGCATGCACATTCTTGAGAATGTGCAACTGGATCCTTGCTCAATCTTGGCAAAAAATAACTCTTCCAGATTGAGCGCACATTCTCGAGAATGCGCGACAAGATAACGGTCTTGTCGATGCCGAGCACCGGCTGCGCTTGGCAAGTCTAGCTGAATCCTCGTTCACTGATTCTCAATAATTATACTGTTGCAACGCAAGGCGCTGAAAAGTAGAGTGGATATGATAAGTAAAGGCGTATTAATATGGGGGGGGGACCGGGAAAATATAAGAGACATAATAATACTAGTGCAAAGAATTCTGATTTTTGGAATAATAAAAGCGGGGGGGGGGGGGGGGGGGGGACGTAAAAATGAAGAATGTGAAGAATGAGAATGAATACTGCGACATCCCATGGTGCTAATGCTATTTCCCATTTAAATTGCCGCCAATTTATTGTTCACATCCCACCATAACGTCGCAGAGCTGGATTCTATCTAGTCAAAAGAGCAATTTTGGCAGCTTCTGGACATCGTTTTTTTTCGTGGCACGCATATGATACATGCAGGGACTTGTAACTTGTCTAGCCTAAACAAAGCACTTCCCAGACTAGTTCCCAGTCCTCCGTTATTACAAAACTTCCCATAGTGGGCAGAAAAAAGCAATAATAACAGGTTTAATTTGATTCAAATTATCGTAGTTATACGAGTACAGAAGCATAGCACATTTTCTTTCCTCTTTATATGAATTGTTTCCCTTTTAACCGCTATACAATTCATTTAACATAATTATGTCGTGCAATGTTTGTTAAGATTGGGCAAAATTCATAAATTGTGCACGTGATATTCCCACCCAATCTTAAGAATGAGCGCTCATTCTTAAGAACGCGTGCTCGTTCTTAAGAATGGGCGCTCATTCTTAAGAATGCGCGCCCATTCTCGAGAATGTGCATGCCCATTCTCGAGAATGCGTGATTTTCAAGAATGGCACAACACCAACATGAATTCCAAAACAATACGCACCCGCCAGTGTCTTTGAGCCCCTTCACTTAGGATTCAATGTAATAATTACATTGTAATTCAAGAGAAAAATGTTGAGTGGCTACATATATTTTCAGACAATGCAACTACAGGGTGAGTAAAAAAAACAAGAAACCCAAATGTTGGGACCATTTTTGTATTGAAGTTCTGCATGTAGCACTTTCAAAATCTAGGATATGAAAGCCCAATTCATAAGCTTTCGTTTAGTACAAGAATCATTCAAATCACTTATGTACTTTTCAAGTTACGGAGTTTTAAACACAGCCGCCGTTTTAAGGTTCTGTCCACGGATCACAAAACAGATCAGTGTTCTCTCAGCAACACGAAAACAAATCACATAAGGATGTGTGTGAATTGTTTTCGTTTCGGTGAAAGAACACACACCTTTTGTGTGATCCGTGAACAGAACTTTAAAACGGTGTTTGCGTTTAAAACTCCGTAACTTGAAAAGGACATGAGTAATTTGAATGATTCTTGTACTAAAAGCAAGCCTATGAATTGGGCTTTCATATCCTAGATTTTGAAAGTGCTACATGTACATGCAGATCTTCACTAAAACAATTGTCCCAACATTTGGGTTTTGTTTCTTTGTACATGTACTCATTCTGTACATATGTACATGGCTAGTGATGAATGCAAGCAATGCCGATTTTATGTCAGAGACACAAGTTCACCAGAAATTTGCTAAAACAATGTACGCATTGTGTACTGCAAGCAAAATTGAGCACTTTCATCCCATCATGATGTCAACTATTTTAGCTTTAGCTTTTATTAAGAGGATGAATATGTAATTGGCCGGTAAAAAAAATGGCTAGGGGCCTGGACGCAGATAATGGCCCGAGTCGAAGGCAAGGGAAGGGCCATTATCTGCTAGTTTTAAAGGTACAATGTACTTGTTTAATATGTTTAATACTGGCCAAGCACATATTTATTCCCATTCATACCTTACGGTCAAAAAGTCAAAACAACTCAAAAATTCACAATATTTTCCAACGATCTTGCTCGACAATTTTATCTCATGTTTTGTGAAGTACCCTCTGGCGATGTCTATGGTATGTGTCTTGAGCGAGTAATGCTGAAAATCTCCTTTTATGGGGATTGGTGCGGGCACAGCGCGTCGTGTGAGATGTGGCGCAGAATGCAGCAGTGCAAGAATAAAGTGTTTAATACCAGCTGGTGTTTTATCAGTGGTTCAAAACACCCACGTGACAGGCTTTCGACCGATAGGAATGGGTAAACTCTCTTACAGTCTTAGGTATTTATGAATATGAAGTTAAAGTACGATATACATTCATTGTGTAGTGAAGAAGGAACATTGATGTCACCCACATGTAAAGTGCTTTTTTCCTAATTTATTGGATTATATTGGTGCCATGGAAACACAGCATTCATCACCTTGCCAAATTAGCTCAGTGTTCATGCACGTGTACGCGTATACGTTGTTGATTTACACAATTGATTAATGGATGGACTGTGACTTTCTAGGACCTGAGCGATTGCCTGTGGTTCCTTAGACGTCATCAGATGTCATGTTGACGATACAAAAAAGTATAGGGTTGCAAGGCTTCGTTTCTTTTGTGAAAGTTACAATCTAGACAGCCCTTGGGGCTTACGAATAATGCATTGTTGAACCTCTAAAATTGCTGAACTGCGTAGTTGAATTTCTCAAACAAAATAAATTGAATCAATGAAAAAAAATTGTGGTATAATTTTAAAGAATTTACACAAATAATTGTAATCAAATTACTGTTACATGATGGAAATCAAAGCCGGTTCCAAAAATACTCAGAAGAGATTTACACCAGCAGATTTCTCGTTTATTTAACCTGAAATGATAAATTTCAGTAAGTGTTTTTAATAATTTACGGAATTTATAAGTGATTTACAAAAGTCATTTCATAATGTTTACACTAGTCACTAGTATTATGTATGTAGGTACCGGTACCTGTTCATTTGAAATGAAATCTACTTATAAATGATTTCCATATGTTCAGTGATGTTACAGTCAGCACTGTCTGCTATAACAGATCATGCATTAAAGGGAAGATACAACATCAAAAACCAAAACTACCAAATTATTTTGAAATACCTTACCGGACTGTTAGGGAATGACAGTCTAAAGCATCCTGTAAAATCATGGCACCTGGTGTGCTGTCATTTTCAAGAAAAGTGGTATTTTTGTATCGATTTCCAACGCTGCAGCGTTGGAAAAAACTGGCTTTTAAAAAGTCAGCATTTTGTTTGCAATCGATTACACACCTATGAACAGGAACAAGCCAGCTAGACTGGTTTCCTGAGCTTACAATTCCCTGACATCTGTAAATTGCTCTGTTTCATCTTAAGTGGGGTCAGGGAACCAGACAACATGAACATGATTGTTTTTCTTAGTTTTTCCAGCATCTACGACCACAAAACTTCAAACAAGTCAGTGTAACAATATTTGCTATAAAATACTAACCCCCAAAATCCATCCATTTCTGAAAATTACAGCGAACGCAAATGTTGTGTTTACTTTATGGCAAGGGATCACTTATGCACGTGTCACAGGGGAATTGCATTGCCTAAAACACTGACCTCTAATT